CATTTTGTTTACCCGTCTGTTGATGTGTGTTTAGGTTATTGACACCTTTGGCTGTTGTGAATAGTGTTGCTATGAATATTAGTGTTTAAACACCTGTTTTCAATTTCTTGGGTATATAATTAGGAGTGGAAATGAGTCATAATTTCATGTTAACATTTTGGGGCAACCACCACAGTGTTTTCTACAGTGGCTGGACAATTTTACATTCCTACCAGAAATGTATGAGGGTTCTAATTTCTCCATATCCTTACAAATACTTACCTTCCATTATTTTTATTGTAGCCATCCAGCAGGTTTGATGTGGCATCTTATTCTGGTTTTGGTTTGAATTTTCTGAATGACTAATAATGTTAAATCTTTTCATGTGATTGTTGGCAATTGTATGTCTTGGGAGACATGTCTATTCAAGTCCTTTGCACATTTTTAATTGGTTTGTTGGTCTTTTTATGTGATGAGTTGTAATACAAGTTATGTGCAAGATACATAATTCACAAATTTTTTCTCCCATTCTATGAATTGTCTTTTCAATTTTTTATAATCAGTGTTATATTAGTTTCATATGTACAATATAATGATTCAACAATTCTATCCATTTCTCAGTGCTTAAGATAAATGTACTCTTAATTTCATTTATCTTTTCACTTGAATTTTAAAACTATGTTTATTTATTTTGAAAGAGAGAGCATGCCAGCACAAGCAAGGGAGGAGCAGAGAGAGAAGGGGAGAGAGAATCCCAAGCAGGCTCTGCACTGGCAGCTCAGAGCCCAATGAGGGGTTTGATCCCACCAACCATGAGATCATGACCTGAGCTGAGATCAAGAGTCAGATGCTTAACCAACTGAGCCACCCAGGCACCCCTCTTTTCACTTTTTTAATGGTGTCCTTTGAAACACAATTTTTAAAAAAATTTTTTAGTTTTTCTATATGTCTTTATATTTAATTGAAGTATATATAGTTCACATATTTAATTTCAGGTGAACAACATAATGATTCAACAATTACATACATTACAAAATGCTCACCATGACAAGTATAGTTACCCTCTGTCACACTACAAGGCTACAACAATATTATTGACTATATTCCCTATGCTGTACTTATATTTCCATGACTTTATTTTATAACTGGAAGTTTATACCTCTTAAGACCCTTTATCTATTTTGTTCATCCCTCCATCCCCACTTCCCCTCTGGCAACCAGTCTGTTCTCTGTATTTAGGTCTGGTGTTGGTGGTGGTGGTATCTTTTTCTTTGTCCATTTGTTTCCTAAGTTCCACATATTAGTGAAATCATATGGTATTTGTCTTTCTCTGACTTATTTCACATAGTACTATACCCTCCAGGTCTGTCCATGTTGTTGCAAATGGCAAGATTTCTTTTTTATGGCCAAGTAATATTCCAGTGTGTGTGTGTGTGTGTACCACTCTTGTTTATCCATTCATCTATGTATGGATAATTGGGTTGCTTCCATATCTTGGCTGTTGTAAATAATGTTTTAGGGGTGCTGCATATCTTTTAAATTAGTGTTTTTGTTTCTAATTTGAATACCTAGTAGTGAAATTACTGGGTGGTATGGAAATTCTATTTTTAATATTTTGAGGAAACTCCAAACTGTTTTCCATAGTGGCTGCACCAGTTTACATTCCCACTAATAGTGGATAAATGTTCCATTTTCTCCACAGCCTCACCAACACTTATTTTTTGTTGTTTTGATACTAGCCATTCTGACAGGTATGGGGTGGTATCTCATTGTGGTTTTGATTTGTATTTCTCTGATGATGAGTGATGTTGAGCATCTTTTCATGTGTCTATTGGCCATCTGGATGTCTTCTTTGGAGAAGTGTTTCTTTGGTGTTGAGTTGTGTGAGTTTTTTACAGATTTTGGATATTATATCCCATAAGGGGTTGTCATTTGCAAATATCTCCCATTCAGTAGGTCGCCTTGTCATTTTGTTGGTTTTCTTGCTATGCAAAAGCTTTTTGGTTTGATGTAGTCTCAATAGTTTAATTTTGCTTTTGTTTCTCTTGCCTGGGAAGACCTATCTAGAAAAATGTCATTAAGGCCAATGTCAAAGAGATTACTGCCTATGTTTTCTTCTAGGAGTTTTATGGTTTCACATCAGGCATTTAATTCATTTTGGTTTTGTGTATGGTATTAATGCTGGAAAAACTGGACCACTTTCTGTTTGTTGAAGAGACTGTATTATCCCCATTATGTATTCTTGCCTCCTCTGTCATAGACTAATTGACTATATAAGTGTTGGTTTACTTCTGGGCTTTTTATTCTGTTCCATTTTTTTTATGTTGAAAGGTATTTTTCTTCTGCCTCTTGTGCTTTCGGTGTCCTATCTAAGAAACCATTGCCCAACCCAAGGCGATGAAAATTTACTGCCATGTTTTCTTCTAAGAGTTTCAACTCTTACATTTAATTCTATGATCCATTTTGAGTTATTGTTTGTAGGTAGTGTACAGTAAGTCAACCCCCCCCCTTTTTTTTAATCCTTGAAAATAATACCCTAATGCTAGAAACAACTTTTTTTTTTCAACGTTTATTTATTTTTGCGACAGAGAGAGACAGAGCATGAACGGGGGAGGGGCAGAGAGAGAGGGAGACACAGAATCGGAAACAGGCTCCAGGCTCTGAGCCATCAGCCCAGAGCCTGACGCGGGGCTCGAACTCACGGACCGCGAGATCGTGACCTGGCTGAAGTCGGACGCTTAACCGACTGCGCCACCCAGGCGCCCCTAGAAACAACTTTTTTAAACCAAGCTTTGGCACAGAATCATCTTAGAAAAATTTTAGGAGCCATAGACTTGGTAACTTGCCAATTACATTTTCATTTCTTAACAACTAATTGTTTACATCTTTATTCTATTACCTCTGGACCTAGTTTATACCTTTTCTGTGGCAGCCAGAGGGAGAGTGGCTGAGGTAATAGAAAACTATAATTACTGGCAGCCTCCACCTACTCAAGCTACCAATTGATGAGTTCTATAGAATTCCAGTTGAAGTCATCTTCAACAGAATGTCCTCTGAAGACGTGTTGCTCGAGCAGAGGCCTGAAAGATGAAGATCAAACTAAAGACCAGGCAAAGAGCATTCCAACAAGGTGCACAAGTGCAAAAACCCTAAGTGGGTCAGAAGATTTGGGGGGACATGTGGAGAGCAGCAAACATGAATGACTACCTTGAGTAGCTCCTAATGTGGGTAAGGCAACTGAAAATGGCCAACATGGCTGGACACAAGGATATAGGAATAGGAAGGGGCCTCATAGATCATGTGATGTGTTTGTAGCAGTTCCCTAGGTTGTACATGGATAATAAGCCTGTGTCTCTAGTGACTCCTCAAATCCCGAGAGTTACCAGGATCAAGAACGGGGTCCATGAGGTGCCAAAGCAGAGCGAATATGTTCTTCCTGACTTGTACAGGATTAACAAGGGGAATGGATTAGAGAAAGAAACCAACAAAATGTGACCTCTTCTTTTTCCTACAGGCTGGCAAATTGTCACCTTTCAGCAGATGATTGTGAAGCCTTTACCTGTGTCCTAAACAGCAGCAAGAAGCTGAAGCTTCTTAATGTATCCTACAACTACCTGGACCAAGGGGTGCCCCTGCTGTGTGAGGCCTTGCAGCACCCTGACTGTGGTCTAGAGGGCTTGATGTAAGTGCACATTGGGAGGGTCCACTGTGGAGAACCATGGCAGTGGTTAGTTTGAACTTGGGCCAGTTGTCTAAAATCCTACCCAGTGATGGAGGCACCACTGCAGAGATTTGAAAGCCTAAGCTGAGGATTCAGGAGAACTTGAGCTCTACCCCTGGATTTACCACTTAACCCTTGTCATCTTGAGCCAAGTTACCTAACTTCTCTTGGGTTCAAATTGCTCCTCTGTAAACAGGAGGAGGGAAAAATGCTGTCCTAGAAGTATTATGAAAGTTGAGGTTATGCAGAGCACATACAGAGCATACACAATATTAGACTGGGTGAAAGTAACTACAACAATCGGATACTTCCTTACTCCCTACTGTTTACCTGTTACTAGTATGTACAGTGAGCTCTCACCTATGGTCCTTGCTAAGGGCCACAGCGGAGCAAGATGACCTTGGGGGCATTGGCTTCATTGAATAAAGTTCCACATCTATCTTCAGTTTATGATAATACTGGTAAGAAAGGGGAGGCGGGAAAATACATATGCATTTGGGTCTGTTTTTTTATATGCAAATATCCTTAGTGATATGATATAGACTGTGGGGAACAGAACTGGAAGGTGGGAGAGAAACGTTTCTCTGTTTACACTTCTGGGTTTGTAAAAATGTGACCTATGTGAGAATAAGAGTACTCTGAGAATAAATCAAGCCAGTTAGAGGCCATCACTTCTAGTCAAAATGGAAAAACAGGGACTGGATTTAATCTCCCCCTGAAAACAACCAAAAATAACCAAATAAGTGAAACAATATTTTCTAGACATCACGCAATGAAGGACATGGATTCCTGAGAGACAGGAGATAAACAGGGGGAGTCTTATAATTGTCCCAGCTGACTATGCAGAAAGTTTCCAGGATACTGTTCAGGAAGAGAGAACTCACACGGAGCATGGCAGACTACAGGGTTTGGGGAGATGTTGGCTGAGAGTCTAGGAAGTTTGTGGGAGGTCACAGGACAGCACACCAAAGCATCTAGAAAACGTCAAAGTCTGAAAGACACCCTCTCAAGCACGCAGCAGGGTTCTGGCTCACATAAACATGAGAGAAAACTACCTTTCCCTTTCTCAGGGAAGGACCACCCTGAGAGGATGTGAGGGTGCTGGACCTGGTCCTCACACAGACTAGGGCATAGTTCTCATTCACAAGGCATCAGGTAGAGTGTTCAGAATAGTCTCCCCTTGGGAGGGGGATATGATTACCTGTAAACTAAACCCTAGTCTTGGTGAAAATGCTTAGAAAATTGTTCTCAGGTAGTTTCACAATTTCCCAGAACATAGCTAAAGAATCCAGACTGGAAAAAAGTAAAACTGTCTTTATTCTTAAGCAACATGAACGTTGGTGTAGAAAATCCAGGGGAATCTAGAAAGGAAGAATACACATTATACGATAAAACTCAAAAATGCAAACTAATCTATAGAGACACAAAGCAGATCAGTGACTGCCTAAGTGTGGGGCAGATGGGTCACAAGGAGGGACAGATGACAGAGGGGCATGAGGAAAGTTTTGGAGTTGATGGATATGTTCCATCATCCAATGGCGATGGGTGTACCTAAACTATACACCTTAAATATATAATACTGTAAAAATACACTAGGCTGTCTTTGAATTATGCCTCAATAAAAGAAATCAGGATAAAATGTAAATAGAAACATTTGGGAAGAAGACCATATGGAAATGATTGCTTATATTGAAATAAATATACGGATATAAAAAACTTAGAAGTAGTTGATACAACATTAATATTGAGTGAGATCTTACAAACAAGCTACATATTTTTCCTGAATTTGTTGGATTTAAAATGAGTTATTTTACTTATAGGGTTAAGTATCTAAAGTACAAGTATATTCAGCATCAGCATATTAACTTGCATTTTTTTTTTTGATTCATGGTAAATAAAGAACATGACAACTTCTCTAAGTAGAAAATTTTTAGTTGTCAATGTTTGCCAGGGTTGAAAATAAGACACTTAAACATAGCAAAATATTTAAATCCTATGAAATGTTAGAGTAATCTTCATTAAAGAATATTTTTACCATAGTAACAATATTGTACAGCCACTAAATTGTGAAAGTTTAAAACTAAAATTCACTTTTTAATTGAAAAAAATGATATTCATAAGTTGAAAACCTGGATTTTTTACATAAAATTTTGTTCATGTTTAAAGGTTAGCAACTAAAATTTAAATATCAAAGTGCCAGAAAATTTAAGTCTATTGGCTATGTGTGGTTCAGTCGACACGAGTTTGCAACCCCTGCTTTACTTTACGGTACCTTACAATATTTCCCAGGTTAACATGCATCTTGTTGAAAGCCATGAACTTAGGATTTTAAAGAGTAACAGAATTGAAAAAGAAAGAGGATTTTATACATAAGGTAATTCAATGCACTTCCTCAGTCCATGAGAGAAGAGTGTCATAAGGTAAGTGCCTTGTCCAAGGACAATATCAGATGTAGAGTTAAAACCAACATTTTCTACATTCTTCTCGAGTATTCATTGTGCCATAGTTTTCCCTCAGCATTACTTTATCAGTTTTATTTTCTAATTCATGTATCATGTGAGGAAGGAAACTCAAAGAGAGGTATTTTCAGATAAGCCACAGGTTCATTGCTTCATTAAGGACTGTATATGGAAAATTATAGGACTTCTACTTTTAACGTGGAGTTAAAGTTCTGTGAGGTGTCAGTCCTTCCCTCCTTTCCTCCCATGTTTGTCTCCACAGATTAGGTTACTGTTACCTCACTGAACACTCCTGGAAATACCTCTACAACCTTCTTCTGTATAACAAAAGCTTGACCCATCTAGACCTCAGCGCCAACGTCCTGAAATATGAAAACTTGAAACTTCTCTGTGAGGCCTTGAAGCAGCCAGGCTGCCACCTGTGGTCACTGTGGTAGGTGTTCTTGAGGAACGCTTGGATTGCTCAGAATCTATCTGGAATTGAGGAGAGCCATAGGGTCTGTTCCTCAGAATGTAAAGTTTAGAAATGACCTGACTCAGACTCTTGTGGAAATGTTGAGGTGAGCAAACCTTACCTCCTCCTTGTGTCACAGATTTAGGGTGTTGTAGCTAGTCATTCAGCAGGGTAGACATATAGGCTGAGGGAAATAACCTAATTATGACTGGGGGCTGAGGGATGGTCTTGGGTTGGATGCTTGACATGAGTTGTACCAGATGAACAGGGATCTTGGGGTGGAAATCTCAGGTAGGTAGATCTAACATGGCAATGGGAGGACTGATAACAGGAGTGGGACACACATGGATAACACAAGGAACACCTGAGGAAGGAATCAGGGCAGTAAATTTAACAGTAAAGGAGATAATGAAAAGATTTAATTTGATGTTATAAAATGGAGAAATATTTGGGTAACCTTGTGGTGGTGGAGTTACCAAGAGGGACAGCATTACCTCATCAAGTGTCTCTTTCCCTGAGAAATCAAGAGATGTGGATTAGACACAATTCTTTTTACATAATACATCAAGATATCTCAGTTCAGAATTTTGTATTCCTTGTTCAGTTGGTTACTGGGAGAAAGGAGTCCTGTAACACCCAATGCTTATCACACCACCTGCCTTCCTAAATACCCATAGCCCATGTAGCCCATCCCCTACCACTTCCCTCCATCAACCCTCAGTATGTTCTCTATTGTTAAGAGTCTCTTATGGTTTGTTCCCCTCTCTTCTCTTCTGCCTGCCTTCCATATGTTCATCTGTTTTCTTAAATTCCACATGTGAGTGAAATCACATGTTATTTGTCATTCTCTGCCTGCCTTATCTCACTTAGCATAATACCTTCTAACTCCATCCAAGTCATTGCAAATGACAAGATTTCATTCTTTTTGATGCCTAAGCAATATTCCTGTGTGTGTGTGTGTGTGTGTGTGTGTTCTTTATCCGTTCATCACTTGATGGATACTTGGACTCTATCCACAGTTTGTTGACAATGCTGCCATAAACATTAGGGTGCATATACCCCTTCAAATCAGACCTACATATAAAATAACTGCATTTACTATGTTTCAAGAAAAAGAAAAAGGGGGGAACCTGGGTGACTCAGTCCATTAAGCATCTGACTCTTGATTTCGGCTCAGGTCATGATCTCACAGTTTGTGAGAGCAAGCCTTGCATCATGCTATGTGCCAACAGCAAGGAGCCTGCTTGGGATTCTCTCTCTCCCTTGCCCCACTCACATGGGCTCTCTCTCTCAAAATAAACAACTTTTTTAAAAGTTGCAATATCTTAGAGGGGGGGAAAGCCATAAACATCTAGAAATTGTAAATACCAAAAGCTTAAGACATTCAATAGGTTAGACATAATTGAAGAGAATCAGTAAAACAGAAGCCAGGTCATAATTAAGACGGTGTGAAGAGGAGAAAAAGATGTAAAATAGGAGAGACTGGGGGCCTAGAAGAACAAGATGTTCTAGCCCAAGTAATGTGAATCCCAGACAGACAACCTATTTTATGAAGTAATGGCTCACAGTTTTCCCGATGGAAAAGCAATTGATGAAAGGTTCTGATCTACAGATCCAATCATCCACATCAGCCTCTAGTAGGATACATACTGGAGAATCTGCAGAACACCAAAAATGCAGGTAGTGTCCTAAAACCTCAATGCTTGGGGCTGGGGGAAGCCATCATATCTAAAGGAAGCACAGAGTGGATGAAGACTAACCATGGAAAAAGGCAGTGCAGGGGGATCTTTGCCATGCTGGGGAGAAATTGTCAACCTTACGTTTTATAACAAACAAAAATCATTAGGAAAGAGAACAAAAACCTAAGTGTCATTCAAGGCAATTGTAAAGAACATCCCTCAAGGAAAGAGAAGGTAAAATATTCCAGATAGAAAAAGTGGTGAATCTGTAGATCAATCCAAGCAAAATATGGACTAACAAAAGAGATACAATTATTTTTTTTAAATTTTTTTTCAACATTTATTTATTTTTGGGACAGAGAGAGACAGAGCATGAATGGGGGAGGGGCAGAGAGAGAGGGAGACACAGAATCGGAAACAGGCTCCAGGCTCTGAGCCATCAGCCCAGAGCCCGACGCGGGGCTCGAACTCACGGACCGCGAGATCGTGACCTGGCTGAAGTCGGACGCTTAACCGACTGCGCCACCCAGGCGCCCCGAGATACAATTATTAAATCCTAAAGGAGAACAATTTAAATGTATAACAGCAGTAATATAAAATGTAAGTTGATGTCCTAAAGTCCACAAAGAGGGTAAAGGTGTTGATTAACTTAATATGTTGATGGGTTAAATGTGGACACAGAAATTTCTATAGAACATTAGAAAAAAAACAAAGTATTGCTGATGCCCAAATAAGCAGAGAAGATGGAATGATAAAAAATACCTAATCAAGAGACTAATATAAAATGTAAGACGTAGATCTAAAATATAAGTAAATATAAAAAATTAAGTATTTTGGCCACAAGAAAGGTTGTCATACAGGATTTTTATTTTAAAAAGTTTTTTTTAATGTCTATTTTTTATTTATTTATTTATTTTTTTATATTTATATATGAAATTTATTGTCAAATTGGTTTCCATACAACACCCAGTGCTCATCCCAAAAGGTGCCCTCCTCAATACCCATCACCCACCCTCTCCTTCCTCCCACCCCCCATCAACCCTTAGTTTGTTCTCAGTTCTCAACAGTCTCTTATGCTTTGGCTCTCTCCCACTCTAACCTCTTTTTTTTTTTTTTCCTTCCCCTCCCCCATGGGTTCCTGTTAAGTTTCTCAGGATCCACATAAGAGTGAAACCATATGGTATCTGTCTTTCTCTGTATGGCTTATTTCATGTCTATTTTTGAGAGAGAGAGTGACAGAGCACTAGTGGGAGAGGCACAGGGAGAGAGGGAGCCACAGAATCTGAAGCAGGCTCCAGGCTCTGAGCTGTCAGCACAGAGCCCAACCCAGGGCTCAAACTCACAAGAACTCACAAACTGTGGGATCATGACCTGAGCTGAAGTCAGACACTTAACCGACTAAGCCACCAGGTACCCTTGTCATACTGGATTAAAAAAAAAAAAAGTGATGTTTTTAAGTGACCTATTAAAATGTAAGGAAGCTGTGATGTCACGTTACACTGAAAATGCCACTAAATGTTCACTTTAAGATGATTTTCTGTTATGGAAATTTCATCTCAAGTTTAATGAGAAAAATTTGGAAGACGGAAAAGACAATATGCCATGAACATGTTGAAGCTGTATCCAACAGACAAAACAGAATTTGAAAAAGAAAGCATCAATCCATTATTTGCATCCTGCTGTTTTTTTTTTAAACTAATGTCCTATTCCATTGAACTCAAATTCTTAGGAGGTGAATGTAATTACTTCACATTCATCATCCATAAAAC